AAAGCCTGGTCTACAGCTGGGCAGTTGTGGCGCATGCCTTTAATCCCAGCACTCCAGAGGCAGAGGCAGGTGGATCTCTGTGAGTTCAAGGCCAGCCTGGTCTACAAAGCAAGTTCCAGGAAAGGCGCAAAACTACACAGAGAAACCCTGTCTCGAAAAAAACCCCAATAACAAAACAAAGCAAAACAAACAAACCAAGTTACCTGCAGAGTTTTAGTTTTAAACACTGACATCAAGTGTAGAAAGAACTCAGAATAAAAAGCCCCCTATAATGAGAATGTAGTACCAACATAACCCGGGCCCCTTATATTCCATCTGTCCTAAATCAGAAAGGGCATCATAACCAAAGGTGTCCCAGCGTGGGGTCATCCTGCAGCTGGCAGGTGAGAAGCCACTTAGGGTGCTGGGGGTTTCTTTTGGTGTTTTGAGACTGCATCTCATGTTGTCCAGGCTAGTTTCAAACTACGTAGCCAAGAATGGCTTCAAACTCTTGGTGCTCCTGCCTCTACTTCGAGTGCTGAGGTTACAGGTGTGGGCAATCACACAAGCTAGATGCAGGAACAGGAGAGAAGAGGGCAAAGACTGGTACCTGCCTCATCCCGGGGCAGAACAGAAAACTCGGCCACTGAATGACCTATAATTTCACTTCCTCTTCTAAACTATCATAATCCTAATTTTACACTCCATCTCATCCTGAAAAGTCCTTCCAGATGAATGTAACTGCTTCGTTCAGCCTTTGTCTCCATTGGGGACTCCCATCCCCATGAAGCACTTTTTTTGTTGTTGTTTATTTTTTGTTTTTTTGAGATGGGATTTCTCTGTGTAGCTTTGGTGCCTGTCCTGGATCTCGCTCTGTAGATCAGGCTGGCTTCGAACTCACAGAGATCTGCCTGCCTCTGCCTCCGGAGTGCTGGGATTAAAGGTGTACGCCACTGCCACCCGGCTTCATGAAGTTCTTTTAAGCAGGAACATTCTCGTTGTCTTTTGGGCATGAGCCTTTTGATCTTCTTGAGACTCAGTTTCCTTATCTGTTAAAGTGGGAAGAGTGAACCAAACTGGATGATGTTGATTTGTGATGCCTAGGACTGAACTCTGGGCCTTGTGCATGCGAGGCAACGACAGTATGCTGAGCTACAGTATGGGTCAGTCCCATTTGAATACCACAGTCTATGCAGAAAACTCAACTTGACGATTGTTACTTCATGGGTATACAATAAATGAGTTATTTCCACATCAGCAAAAATCTGAGGGGACACTCCCTAGAGTTGGGGAGGGGGAGGATAGCAGAGGAGGAAAGAAAAGGACACCACGGTTTCCAGAACCTCTGTGGTATAGAATGGTTATGGCCACCTCTGAAATTTCCAGACTACTGTAAAATTCTGCATTCTGACTTCATACCTTTTTCTAGTGTCTCCCCAGCTCTGAGAGCACTGGCCCACAATACAAAACACACCTGTTTGGGAACTCTTGTTTGGATTTTGGGTAGTTTCATGACCCTACTAGTCACCTGATTCAGAGATGCCCAGTCACTGGGATGTGAAAAGAACACTTGATTCTTCCATGGCTGTGGTCACATAAACCGCACACAGGACTACAAAGGGAATTTTGGTCACGGGCCTCAGCCTCCACACAAGGCTGCCTGAATCTGGGTCAGAAGGGAATGTCATTCCAGACCAGGGACAATTCCTACTGCCTGGCCATCTATCCACAGACATTGCTTCTCAACACTGGCTGGACAGCAGTCACCTGAAGGCCTGTGAAACTTACAAAAACAGACACCCCACTCCTACTAAGCACTTCAGAGGGGAGTCCAAAAATCATTTCCAAATGTAGCACAGGTGACTGACTGAGCTGTGAAGCCAAGGCTGAAGAGAATGCCGGGTACAAGTGTCGTGTCTGAGCTTAGGGGACAGGACAGAAGACAAAAGCAGCTGTCTTTTTTTTTTCCTGGTGGCATCTGCCGACAGACAGGTCTGTTCCAGCTCCCCTGGCTCTCGAACAGGAAACCGATCAGGAGGCCACAGCACGCAGCTGTTTAACCACCCAGGCCTTCCTCATCACCTTGGGAGAACTCAATAAAAGGTGCCCTTCTTAATGAAATGAGCTTCGGAGCTAACATGACAGGAGCAGCTGTTTCGTAGCAGGTTTGTGAGAGAGAGACACAGAGACAAATGATAAGCCTTGGGAGCGCTCCTTTTGGGTCCATTTCTGAAATGGAGTTCTGCTCAGAAAGGCTTTATCAGCTCACCGAAGCAAAAATCTTCAGGGAAATGTCTTCCCTGACATGGTTCATTGCCTCGGAGCAAAATGTAGCTTGGAGGCTGGTGTGATGGCTCAGCTGGCAGAGGCGCAAGTCACAAATATGATGACCTGGGTTCAATCACCAGATCCCCAAAGATGGCAGAAGAGAACTGACTCCCGAGAGCTGTTCTCTGATCTGCGCGCGCGCGCGCGCGCGCACACGCACACACACACACACACACACACACACACACACACACACACACACACACAAGCTTCTGAAATCAAATATAAGATGTTTGATCTTGGACAAGTTAGTCAACCTCAGCCCTCTCATAATTTTTGCATCTGGATTACCAACAGACGACCGACACACGCCTTGTCAGTCTAAGGAACGGTGAAGGCTGCCTGGGGCAGGGCGAAAGTGAAAGTACCAAGTGGGAACCAGGGGCCTTGGAGGCAGCTCTTTGCCCCAACTTGGCTGAGCTGTGTGTTTGGCAAGTTCACTTGGTTCTCTGGGCCACGTCACAAACACTGCACACAGGGCTAACCGGCTAAGAATGAGCTAATGCCCTCCACCAAAGAGCACCTGCAGACTCCCTGCGGTGCGTTTCTAACTCCTCCATTCACAGCAAACATACAATTGTCATGGTTTAAGTGCAGGCTAGGTGCTTTGGCAGGCAGAGAGGAGCTTTAGATAAACTCAGGGTCACGTACTCATCTGACCACACCCACCTCTAGAGCAATTTAAAAGAACATCAACCAGTAATTCCAACTCCTTGAGAAGCTGAGGCAAGAGGGCCACAAGTTCCAGGCCAGCCTGGGCAATTCGGGGACACCTTGTCTGAGGAGGGAGAGAAAGGAAGAGAAGCAGGAGTCGTGGAGAACACCCTTGTAATCCCAGCCCTTGGGAGTTAGAGGCCAGCCTCTCTTTTAAAATAATGGGGTGGGATCAGGCTTGGAGTTGCATACCTTTAACCCCAGCATTTGGGAGGCAGAGACAGGTTAGCCAGGGTTACAAAGATCGATCCTGTCTCAAAAAATAAACAAATCAACAACAAAAGGAGTGCACCTCCAGCCCCCCCCCCCAAAAAAAAATTAGAAGCAGGCACCTTTGGTTCCAGTGCTGGGGGGTGGGGGTGGGCAGAGGAAGGAGGATCAGTATACATTTCCGGTCAGCCAAGTCTACTTGGCAAGTTCCAGGCTAGCCAGGAGTATACAGGGAAACTTTAAGAAGGGAAGAGAAAATAATAGGACACATGTTGGTAAACCCCAAATTTTTGTCATTTATTTATTTATTTATTTATTTATTTATTTGAGGCAGGGTTTCAGTATGTAGTCCAGACTGGCCTCAAATTCACAATCCTCCTGCCTCAGCAAGTGCTGGGTTACAGGTACACCATTATGTGCAGTCTCTAAATTTTTTTTTTTTTTTGCAGTCTCTAAATTGTATTTGGTTTTTTAAAATGTTTATGTATTTTACTCTCTGCATGTGTTTTGAGACCAAGGCTTGTTATGTAGCCCATGCTGGTCTCAAACTCACAACCCTCTCCCCTCAGCATGCTGGGATTATAAAAACAACGCTTTTTTGTTTGTTTTAAGACAGTGTCTCTCTATATATCCCTGGCTGTCCTGGACTCACTCTGTAGACCAGGCTGGCCTTGAACTCAAGAGATCCGCCTGCCTCTGCCTCTGGAGTGCTGGGATTCAAGGTGGGGCCACCAAGCCGAGTTTAAACAACTCTTAACTAGGCCAAGACGCATACATGGTGTAGCGGAAGGAAACTCACAGGAGAAAGGGGCCAGCGGTGAATTCAAGCCCCTGTTCCAATCACTAATTAGCTGTATCACTTCGGACACGTCCCTCCACCTCTGTGAAATGGAAACAGTAACCTACTACCTATTTAACTGAGAACTGAAGATCCAAATAGATGTAAACTATTCTGATAGCTTCCCCTGAAAAATGTAAACAAAGGAGTAGAACTTAGGTGGGCTGTCAGACCATATTTTCAAATTCCAATTCTCACTGGCTGGGTGACTTTGGGCAAGTAGGTTTAACTTTCTTATGCCTCAGTTTTCTCATCTGCCAAATGGGAACACATCCAAAAACTACCCTCCTCCCCGACGAACGGTGCCTTGACAAGCAATCGAAAGCATCCACTTAAGACAAAGGAGTGCCTGCCATCATCCTCGATCAATAATCGGTCGATCAACTTCGCCCTTCACTCTTGCACCTGTGCTTCGCGGGTCTCCCGCCGCCGGGAAGCACCAGAGTCGAGTTAGCAAGCGCGCCTTGGGCTTCGGCGTCTGTCGGACGGCGGCGTCCGCTTCCTCGGACCCTGTCCTCCTCTCCTCGCCGTCCGCCGCCCGCCTAAACACCCTCCAGGGACCCCAGCTCCTTGCCCGGCGTCGGCGCCGACTCTTACTGGATGACCTTGGCCGGATCCCCGTGGCTGCCATAGATCAGCGCCCGCACCTTGGACGGCTCCGAGGAAGCGGAGTAGGAGGAGGCGGTGTGGCCGCGGCGGCGCCAAGTCTCCAGGAGACCCGCATGCAGAGGCGCCGGGGCTCGCGCCCCTGTCAGCCGCCCGCACACCAACATGCCACCTCCAGCGCGGGCAGAAGCCGGCGCGCCGGGTCACGTCATCCGCCCGCGACCGCAAGCCTGCGCCCCGCCCCGCCCGCGGCCACGCCCCCGCCCTTTAAAGGAGGCGCCCCGCCCCTCTCCTCTCCTTTCCTCCTTTGTAGTGTTCAGCTCCCGCCAGCCGTGGGGGACTCGATTAGGGTGGCATAGGAAAAGCAGGGACCTGGAGAAGAAGTTGTAGAGTCAACCAAAGCAGCCTTCCCAACGAACAGAGTCTCGGACTGACCTAAAGCTGCGAATACTGCTTGTAGTGTGTTGTTTCTTTTGGGGGAAGTCATTTACATTCTGGCCTCAGTTTCCCCTTCCCACCCTCTATTGAACTATCACCGTGCTAGGCTCTTTAAGGTATCATTTTTTTTCATCTCCAATTCCCCAGAACAACACCGGACTTAATCATCATCATCACCATCACCACCATCACTATCATCATAATCATCATCGTTATTTTATTTATTTCTTTATTTCCTTATTTATTTATTTATTTATTTGAGATAGGATTTTTCTGTGTAGCCCTGGCTGTCCTGGAACTCTCCCTGTGAACCAGGCTGGCCTCGAACTCAGAGATCGGTCTGTCTCTGCCTCGTGAGTGCTAGGATTAAAGCTGACATGGAAGCGGGAATACCAGGCTCAAATCCTAGCCCTGCTCTTTCCTAGCTTTAGCAAGTGAGCACAATTCCGAGCTTGTTTCTCATCAGTGCCATGCAAATTATACACCTCATTTCAGATGGTTGTGAGGATTGGATGAAATGTTAGAAGAATGTTATGGTGGACAGGATTACACACTGTAAAAACGTCAAGTTGTTCAGATATGAGAGGAATCGTAAGGAGGAAGGCATCTTTTAAAATGCTCATATCATAGAGATTGAGTAGGAAAATGGAAATTCTTTCTAAAAGGGTATAGACCTGTAAAGATGCAGGGTCTTATTTTTGGTGGAGGGAGGACATAAGCATAAATAAACCTCCAGTTGAACCTTATTGTGCATGCGCGTGCACTATTGCGGTTTGAAGAAAAGGAGCACTCTGTGATAGAGGCAGGCTGGGCCTTTTGAGGGAGGTGCTATTGGAGCCAGCCCTTTGACTCCAAATCTGGGTGCGTGGAAGTCAGATGAGGTTGTTGTGGAACATTACTTTATGTGTTACATTTGTTTGTGCTGCATTTAACTATGTAAAGATGTGTTGCATGTGTTTCACCTTGCCTGCCTAAGGCACCTGATTGGTCTAAGAAAGAGCCAAACAGCCAATAGCTAGGCAGAGAAAAGATAGGCGGGGCTGGCAGGCAGAGAAAATAAGTAAGAGGCAGAATCTCAGATTCGGCTGAGGAGAGAAAAGAAAAGGAGAAGAGACTGAGGGAGAGAAAGACACAACTGGGACCAGGAGCTAGGTATGTTCTTAGACACTGGAGGAGGCAGGAAAGCAGACATACAGAGAGAAAGAAACATAAAAAAGCCCTGAGGCAAAAATGTAGATAAAGAGAAACAGGTTACATTAAGTTAAAAGAGCTAGCCAGAAATGAACCTAAGCTAGGCTGAGCATTCATAACTAATATTAAGTCTCCATGTCATGATTTGGGAGCTGGTTGGTGGCCTAAAAGAAAGCCTATTTTAGGCCTCCTGAGGTAGAATCTTGGGACAGGTACATGACCCAAAAGTGTATGTCTTTACAAGATTCCCAGAGTATGGTGATGAGGTAACCCAGAAGAGAAGTGTTAGAGAGTCAGGGCTTTGAAGGACAAAAATGACTGACCCAAAGCCTGCCATGGAATAAAAGCCTTTCCTCTGAGGAAGAGAGCCCAACAAAGGATGGAGATCAAGGCTTTGGGAAGTGGATTCAAGCAAATCTAGCTTTGAGTCCCGGACGTTTGATTTGGCTTCTCTGTGTCTCTGTTTCCCTCATGGTTAAAACTAAGGGACAGAACTAGGGGTGTAGCTCAGTGGTAGAGCACACACTTAGCATGGGTGAGGCCCTGGGTTTGATCTCTAACAAGGCAAAGAAACAACAACAACAACAAATTGAGAGGCCAATAGTCTCAAGGTTGTCTTGAAGATCGAAGGAGATAATGTCCCTCGAAGCACCTAGCAAATTGCCTGGCACATGGGAACATTCAAAAACTATTACAGGGTTATGTTTTGCAGATAAAGTGAGAACTATCACATATAAAGCACTAAGGCTTGGCTCAAGTACTTGCTCAATAACTGTCTGCACTTTATTAGGGAAAGCTCATGTCTCCCGGTGGGAGAATAGCCTGGTCCCACAGTTACGTCTGTGCACGTGTGCACACACGTGAACACAACACCCATTCCTGCTTACCCGTTTTCACAGTGACAGGTAGGTGTACTTCTGCCAGGAAGTTCATAAGCTTTCTCTGCCGTAGGACCCTCTAAGTGACGTTGAGCTGTTTTTATTACCCCGCCCCACCCCCAGTCCCCGGTCAGCCAACTAGAGAAGCCTGGAGAATCAGAAGCAAGTCTTCCTCCTTGAGGCTGGGCTTTATCTCCCTGGACATCCTTATAAACCTTCACTTTTGGTCTAGGCCCTCTGGGTTCACCCAGGGACACAGTTTGAGAACCCCTTATGAAGGGGTTCAAGCCTGTGCCCATAACTTTGCATTCAAGACAATATGTGCTTTGAGGCCCACCTATCATTCCTGCTTTATGTTCTTCTCTTAGATTGTACAAAGCCTGTGACCCGACTCCACAGGACCCCCATTTTGCCAGCTCTTCCTTGTCTTATACTTTTATTCAGGTTGCAACTGCCTGCCATGAATTTTCCTGTCTAAACTGCCAGGAGAATTCCAGGTTCAGATATTGTTTTATTTAGTTAACCCCAATGCCTTTGTCTTTTCTCTGGGCTAATGCTATGGCCTTTAGGATACTATCTCATAGTTACTTATATGCCCACTTCCCCCTCCACTAAGAGCAGGGCCTTGTTTGGTTCATCTCCATGACACAAGCACTCAACAGGGGACCTAGCACAGGATAGGCGTCATAAATATTCCATGAGTTGTAGGTAATTGAATTTCTTCTTGACCTGGCACAGACTGTGGTACCCTATCCTTCTCCTTAGATTTGGGGCAGTCACTCTAAGCCAGGGTCTTTCTTCATCTCTCAAGGATTTTTGAAGTTTGTGGCCCTTTTTTAAAGCAAAGGGGAATGTTCTCTTCATCTGCCCACCTGTTGCTAGCTCTGGCACTCTCTATTCACCATAGTTACTGATGCTGTTCCCTGACCAAGGAGCAAGTCTATCAAATTGGAGTTTGAGTCCTGACACCTTCATGGACTGACTGTGTGACCTTGGGCAAACACCTTGTGCTTTCTGAGTCTTAGTTTCCATACCTCAAAACTGGAGATTACAAAAAAAAAAAAAAAAA